CACAAGCAAACAATTTCCAAAAACTTTTTTTGCATGCAAAATTTAATTTTGTGTCCATAACGTAGTCCTGGATACACAAAAATTGGATTTTTTCGTTTCTCTGGATAATTTATTTCAAAAACGTTCAAAACGCCTACTTATTTTTTATGGCATGTTTAAGTATGCCTAGATCAATCCATGAATAATTAAAAACTCAAACTTCGAAAATTATCATCTTTGAAAGTTTTTGCCAAAATTTAAAAATTTGTTACTTTCCTTAAATCATATGTGAAAGACAGCTTTAAGACAATTCGGGTCGTGTTGTATGCATTGTAAGTGCAAGATTGTCCAACGTTTGGTGCTTTAAGTAAGCCAAGGTCTTTGTCACTTGCGTTCAGAAATTAAATAGAATTTTCATATACGGAAGAATGCGTATCATAGAGATTTCATACAATGCATGGCATTTTTGTACGCATGGCATTGTATGCAATTGTATGTAAGGAAATTTTTCATTTATGAGAAATGTATGACAAGAAGTTTTGTTCAACCCGGTGACTAGTATTTTTGGTGTATGAAAGTCAGACCGGGTAACCAGAGGGTTATTAAAATTTTGCCGGGTTGTTGAATTTGGTTGCTGAATAGTACCCTGGCCAATGCTTATCACAGCTAAGCCATTCTCGACGTCATTCAGATTTGGAAAAACAATGGAAGAAGTTGTCTCTGTTGAGAAAAGCTGTTCTGAACTTTGAAAAAAAAGAATTTGAGACTAAATTAGATTGAGACTGATAGGAATTTGATTGGAGGTGAACAACAAAATTTCCTTCTAGTTCAATTTTGACGTTATTTTAGCTTTCGATAATCACTCATTTGTGCATTGTTTTACCTAATTCAATCTCCTTTTCCCGAAAAAATAACCGGGAAATTTTGGGTAAAAACGAAGAAAACAAAGTTAACTGATAACTCTATATATTTTATTATATTTTGGGAGTCAACTATACTTTTATCAGTGTAGTCGGAACATTCTGTGCTACTTGTACAACAACCGGCTATCTTTTTTTCTTTCATATAAATTGATCATATATATGTTTGGTTTAACCATCCCCAAAAACTATTCATATTAAATGAAATTTCTTTTTTAATTAACTGTGATTCCGTGGTCGAGCAGAAAAAAATCATCGAAAATTATATCATCAATGACGGTTGTGGAATGTGAAATTGATCCCTGATTTGTAGATGACTTCAATGTACGCTTTGACTACTGGAGGAGAGTCAAGAGAGGGAATGGAACTGGCCAGGACATTTTTGATGTCTTGCACTTGGACCGACTGGACTCTCAGATCCGGTTCCAGGGCTGATTTGACCTTAACTTGACAATTAAATAATACCACATTCCTCCAAAGTTCAGCGAGTTTCATGCCGGTGAACATGTTAATGACTGCTGTTTGTTATCTATACTCAGCAGGGGCGGATCTAGGATTTTATCGAGGGGGGGGGGGGGGTCGGATTTTCAAAAAAAAAAAATAGAAATTTTAGGCCTTTTTTAGGTCGACCAAATTGATTTTTCGAGCTCTCCCAAAGCCCTGAAAAGTTCGTGTTTTGGCCAAATTTTCAGCGCCGCTGAAAAACAGGCTAAAAAAGGCGTTTTTAGGCACTTTTTGGAAAATTTTGACGAAAAAATTGCCGTTTTTTGGCGCGCGCGCCGCTCCCTTCAAAATTAGTATATATTGGCGCCAAAGGCGCCTTAAGAAAAATTTTAGGGTCCGTCACCAAAATGGATTTTTCAAAATAGTACAAAGGGGGACCCCTTGGGTCGGCAGGAGGCCGAATCCCTGAGGGCAAGGGGCGTCCGCCCCCTCCACCTAAATCCGCCCCTGATACTCAGTACATAATTCAGATCGAATCCAATAAATGACAGTCGAAAGAACTTAAAATAGATTTCGATTGCAACACTACATTAGGCTTTGAAAAATTCCAGTACAAATGGAGCTTTTTCAAATACCAGAATTTCAAACAACCGGAAAGACTTCGATATTCACATTTTTATGAACCGACAGGTTTTTATTCTCGAATTTTTAGAAACACGTGTCTGAGGCAATCTGAAATTATCATCATTAGTTTGCTGATTTTGTCTTTTTTTCTATATTTTGAGGCCGGATTTTTTTTAAATACAATAATTTACCACTTCGACGATCAGATTTATGAGCAGTTCCTGCTTCATGGCTTGAACTTCCATTCCGAACGTCATCACAAGAGCCAGCTTGGCGTCGGGTCCTGGAAACAGTGATTCAATGCAAATCATCAATATATTAAGAACTAATTAAGCCCTCTGTAGTAGAGTAAAATAAAGCAATCCAGAATCTTGATGCTCGTTGTTTTATACAAGAGTTATTTCAGCAAAGCAGGCCGCTGAATACGGAGTCATACTAAATTGAATAATAATCAATAACTTAGGCCCATATCTTTCGTACAAGAACTGAATAAACACAGAGTTGAAGCGAAGCATCGCAATACTTGCGATACAACAAAACATTGCGTTAGAATAAAGTGAGTAGAAAAAGAGGGGAGAACGGGATTTTTCTAAAATTGAGTTGAAAAAAAAGGTTGAAAACAAATTTAGAAAAAAAAATCGATTACCGTGCCGTAACTAAGGGAAAAAATCTGGATAATCACCTGTTGAACGGAAAACAAACAATTGTCATAAAATATTTGGAACTAAAAAACTGAAAGTTTCACAAAGGGGCGGAGCTTCGCTTCGCAAATACTTGCGAGAACACGACAAAAAGCAGCTCTGTAAAGTGCAATAAGAAAAATTAGAAATAGGCCTCGAACTATTAAAAATTTGGCTGCCTCTGAGATTCGAACCAGCAACCTAGAGATTAAGAGTCTCACATACTAGCCACAAGAAAGCAGAAAACAGATGATATGAATATTCGGCTCCTTTCCACTCCTCCCCCCCCCCCCCACCTTTCAAAATATCGAGTTTTATATTCGTGTTTTGTGTTATTAAGGCTAAATGCATTAAGTTACGATGTAAAGTATGAAGAACAAATCTGTTCACAGTCGTCGATTAATTAAGCTTTTCATGACAACGTTAGTTAAGCTTTTCAAAATTGAATTTGAGAGGGGGGAACTGGAAAAGAGCCAAAATTTCCAATGCTACAAATCGTGATATTATAACAAAAGTACCACCAAATAAGAAAACATTTATAATGAACACTTTTATTTGCGAGTTAGGTAAGAAAAAAGAAGGTTCTTAATAATACACTGAGCTGATCGCAAGCGTAAAAAATTGGTCTCAAACCATACTCTTAGTCGCTCCTACTGAAATCAACTAGTAGTCGTACCTTTTTTCCGGACACTACTTTCCATTAACTTTATTGAACTCAATATCAATATCAAAATCAGGTTTGGCAGGATGGTTTTGAAAAAAGTCGAAAAATTTCCAGAAAACATTTAACAATTCGGAAAATGGACTTATCCTAAACCATACCTGCTTTTCTTCAAAAAACTAGGGGGCAGCCGTTGCGGCAGGGAGTATCTATACACTATGTTCTTTTGATTGAACCATTAACCTCACAATTGGCGGGGTAGCGTTTGAGAAAGGAAAACAGGTTTCAATTAAACTATCGAAATCTCAAAAACTTGACTGTTCCTAATTGATAACAATTTTTGAACAAAAAATATGGCATAGCTGCTTCTACAGAGAAGTTTCTAGCATGCTACTGTTTCCATTGAACCTATAATCGCAGAGCCACTTATACAAGGAAAATTCCCAATGCCAGTTATTTTGATTCATTTCTGCATCTGAGTTATGGCAGGGTAGTTTTCAAGGAAAATGAAAATAGAAAAAAAAAACCCAAGGACATTCGGCGTGGTAGTCTCTGAGAAAAAACTCAAAGAATATGAGTCAAAAATTCGCCCCGTTGAAATTTCCGAGGGCCGTTGAAAAAAATAGTGTAAAAACAGGCTAGGGAACTATGCAGTTACGCAATGTAGAAGCCCATTTCGATGAAACCAATTTTGAAAATCGGTGAAGCAGTTGTGAAAATATTTAGCGAAAAGTGAAAAAAAAATTTCCAAAGCCTCTCAAAAAAACATTCAAAAAATCCCATACATTTTCATAATCCTTTATTTTGTCCAACAGGAATATTTGGCTCTTAAAGTTATGCAGTATACGTTGTTTAAGCCGATGAAACATAAGCAGAAACTGTTTTGATAAAAAAAAGTCTGAAAAACTATTTAAAAAAAACAAAATCAAACCTGGTAAAATAACAAATTACATAAATTTCAATCATTGTAAACGTATTTATAATCAAAACAAAATTCATGCTTTACAATGTAAGCCGATAAACAACAGTACTAGAAAACATTATTTCCAGTTTTATAAAAACGGAAAATGATGCGACTAAAACTAGGCCGAAAACCAGTAATCCTAAAACATTGAAGAATTTGAAAAAATAATAATTACTGCCAAAAACGGATAACACTTATTTGCTTCCTAAATGAAGGTAGTTTTACTTGAATTTTCAAAAGTTGGAAATTTTGAAATTTACCATTTTAAGCATTCTGCGATCAAATTTATTTACTGGAAAAAAGTCTAGTACCTAATTCCAATAACCTTGCTTGTCGCAAGGGTAATAAAAAGAAGTGAAAACTTTAAATTTCAAGACAATCTAAGCTATAACACTTTTTAAAAATTAAATAATCGGTATTGACGACCCGATCTATTCAACCCGATTGAAAAGAGTGGATTGAGTGTATTTTCTATAACAGACAGGAATAGGGGTTAATTTGAAAAAATCTCACCTTTTGTTTCGGCAGCAACCACATTACTCCACGTGGCTCCATTTCCAGGTACCGAAAGAATGGGTCTCACTCGGAACACGTACACAGTGTCCCCAACCAAGTTAGAGACTACCCTGGATCGAGTAGATGAGTCATAGAGGGCCTCTCTCACACTGGAGTTGTCGAAGAATGGTTTGTCGTCATATTGCAACTCAAAACCTGTAAAATAGCCAATCGGAAGTGCTACAATTGAAAGAATTAACATGAATGCTTGCTTCAGATTCCGACTACTAGACGGGAAGTCTCTCAAACAGGAAGGAAAGAGCACTCGTATAATATTTCAGCCAATCAGAACTCAGTATTAGACTTCGAAACAAAATAACTGCCTGAAAAAATGCTGGTTAATCGCTAGCCTAATCATTTCGGAGCTGGACAAAGCAGTCGTCAATACAACGCGCTATAGAAAATTGGTAATACATTTCGCCTTAATTATTTCAAATTGCCTCAGAATTAAGCGGTTTTGGCTGAAACTTTCAAGTGACATCCAACTGACGATATTTTGTTTACAAACAACTCACTTCTATTCCCAGGAGCTCAAATTTTTTATAGTGTAGAAGGTAACATGACCTTTTATCAAGGACCAATGAGTAAAAATTCTTGATAGAAAGCAATTTCAGTGCAGTTGGCGAACACCCACTCACACCGTGAAGCGACAATTGGTCGAAAACGACAATTCGCAGGAGACAATAGATGGCCGACAGAGGAATAATAAATCAGTAGAAGGCTGGCATAGAGCTTTTCAAATTTCAGCTTGAGAATGAGTTGCGCTCATCCGAGCATCCATAAGTTTATTCAATTCATGCAAAAAGAGCACAACATGACCGAGAACAAAACTGCTCCAATTCAAGCATGAGAGTGTGAATAAATTGGCAAAATATGAAAAAATCCAATCTCGTTAGTCGAATTCCTTAAAAATTACCAAAACACTACTGATTTCTAAATCACGTGTTATATAATTTTTTGCAGTTTCATGAGAACTTGAATTGTTTCTGATCAAAGTTTTTCGTCGGTACTAATTGTCGCTTGGTGCAAATTGTCGCTCTCTACGAATCGTCGCTTTTTTTGTTCCGACTTTCGGAAACGGAAAACGAAATACTTATACTTGGGTTGGTTTTTTTTATTCTTTCAATTTCGGCGATCGAAATAGAAATTTTGGACAATTAATTTTTTTACCCCATTAAAAGAGATCGACTCCCTGAAATCAATTTTCAAAATTTTTTCCCTCCGATCAGTTGCCAGATTTTTGGGAGTTCGAAAATTGCCAATTTTGGCCATCCTCTGGACTTACTGATGCTCGCTATGAAGATTTTATTCACAATGCAGAAAACGTAACACGAATTATTTATGCGTGGCAAAAAATCCCGCACAAAAATTTTTTCCCAACTTAATTGAGGCTAGTTAATCGGTCTTATAAAGTTCGTACGACTCAAGATTTCATACTTGAGCTTTGATCTTCATTTTTCAAAATTTTCTTTTCACAAAAATTAAGCGATATGGATTAAGGGCAGTCGGAACATTCAGGGCTTTGCCCACACACATATCTGCGACAAATTAATATCAGGTATCGTACCCTATTTGAGTTTGTATTATTTTGATTATGAGCTAAAAAGAAACTTCAAAAAATATTGAATTTGAAATGAAAGTAATGTTAAGTTTTTCACGTCCATAGACTAGTTTTCGATTAACCCTACGAGAATAATTTGTTGATAGAACTAAGGCTTGGACTTAATTTCTGAATAACTTTGCTTTAATTGAACTTACCAACAATATTTGAGAAGAGAGATTCGGGTGCATTCAGTGTCCATGAAACGAGCAGAGAAGATTTGGAGATGCTCTTGATTTGTCCAATTTTCACTAGCCGACAAAATTGAAATTAAAAATGGGTTACATATAGCAGTAAGCAGGCAATTTAGTACCCAGACAGAGAGGCTATCAAGCAGGCAAATCGCTGAAAAATACTTTGCAGGCTATTTTAGCGGTTCAAAACCTACTATATTACTCTTCAAATAACTTAAAGCAACTCTCTTTTGGTGAAAATGCCTCGTATTGTAGTTATCATTCAAATTATCCATGAAAAATCAGTTTGAACTTAGCAAGATATGATCCATTTTTCTGAATAATCTAAAACCATTCAGTCTGCTCACTGACGAGTATGAATTGAAAAAGAAATCGCTGCCACAAATCATGGCAAAATTGGAAAGAAACAAAAATTCATTATCTAACCATTTTCGTCTGACCTGAATATTGAAATCATACGGGGGCGGTAAACTAAATTTATAGGCCACGAGGCAAAACCGTTAACTAAATATATTAATCAAACAATAGATAACAACAAATAATCTTTTTTGCCCAAAACGCTTCTCGTGGCAAAAAAAATGAGGTAAAACCCAGGTCAAAAATTCGAACTGCCTGAGCTTAAATAAAATTGCTTGTTTTTTTTTCAAAAAGCCGCCCCCTTCCCCAGAAATTTTTTTTTGTAAACGCCTAAGTTTCAAACCTACCGTTTATGCGCTCCAGGGGTAGATATTGTTGTTGCAAAGCATTCACGATGAAGACAGTCTTAAATTAAAATATTAAAGTTACTCACATAAACGGAAAAGCTTTTATTGTTGAGAATTTGATCTTACCAGAACGAAAAACTGGGTATTAAGCATTTCCTTAAGTTGAAACTGCTAATTCCGAAATAAAGTGCGGATTGATCCAGTGAATTTCTTTACAAACTAAGAAAAACATGAAAACCGTCAAAATTTATAAAAATCGACACCGTTTCCCAGTTAATTTACGATTTCATATCTAATTATGTGGCTGAGTAAGAAGCCAGTGTTTCACATTTTATTGTCCATAGAATCAACCTCCCCCCTCCTAGAATATCAAAACCTCCTAATTTTGAAAAAGAGCGTCTTAAGGAACCGCACCAAACTTCTATTCTATAAATTTTGAAGCCAAGTTTCAGAAAAATGAAGAGACAGTTTTTTGTTTGCATTGCAAAAAATGTGGTCTGCATTAGATAACGTAACTTTAAGCCAATTTAGGAGTTCAAGAAAAGTTTGTGCCCAATTTTGGCAAGATATTAATCAGAATAGATCCAAATTTGCGGGACCCCCTGCTAATTTTCTAATTTTAAGATCCCGCAAAACGCCTGCTTTAGCCAAAAATGTTGAACTGCCTTCATTTTTGACCCCTTCCCGCGCGAATTAAGCACTGCCGAGAAAACTATATCAAACTACAACTATGAACTGTAAATCGCATACAGATAAGAATAACAAATTTAGGACCGTTTCTGTGTCAGTCAAACTTTCAGAAAAGGGCAGAACAATTAAAAATTTCTCGATTTTGATATAAAAGGTGCTAAGCTGGTGCATTCATTGGTAAATTCAAATCCGATTTGATTCATAATCACCATAAAATGAGAACAATGAAAATTTATCTTTATCTTTCGAAAGGAGAGATGCTTATCGGTACAAAATTTCACTTAAAAGACAAATCGGAAGAACTTTGCAGTTCCGAAAAACTGTGCTAATCAAAAACTCTATTTTGAGAATTTATGTTACGAGTAAGTTAACTTTATATAATATCTCATCGATAAAAAAATCAAAATTTTCAATTAAGCTTGAAGAGGTGCTAGCACTACAGAATGCTCTGATTTTATTTATTTAAGCAAAAAATTTGAATTTTTAAAATTTTTTACAGATGATTTTCAGGTCAGTAAAAAGTGAATTGTTTTTTAACCTACAATAGCATAATAATATAACAAATGACTTTTTCAAAACCCACTGCAAAGTTCCAGTTTTTTCAAAAACTTTCAAGTTTCAAAACCCACTACAAAGTTTCAAAACCCACTTCAGACAAAATCATCATTTCGGTTAGCTTAGAACACACGGCTCCATTTACAGCTTTCTTGTGCCTCAGACTGAAAAAACTAGTTCCTAAATTGAAGAAAAAATCCTAATACAGCCTTCTTTACCACGAAAACTTGCCGACAATTCGTGGAACTTAACTAACTGCCTCATTACAGGAACAAACCGAGGCGACTTAAAATAAATTTTAAATTATTTTGAAGAAAAGCCATTGCTGTAGAAACTTACCGACAAAAATAAGCAGAAAGCAAAAAACCGACAGCTATAACTTTCCCAGCAGAAAACTTTCAAGTTCCAAAAAGTTTCAAAAATTTCAGCTCTGGTCCCTAATGATTAGAAGACAAGTTCCTTAACCATGCCATCTCTCAAATGAAAAATGAAGGCAGGAACAGTAGTACTGTCAACAAATTAAAATTATTATTTGGTACATTATCCCGAAAAAAGCACAAAAACACGTGACATTAAAACATTTTAACGAAAGTCCTAATAAAATGCGAACAAATTTAAGCCAGTTATAAACCACTTTATAAGCCAGTACAGAGAAATTAAAAAAAAAAACCACTCCCAACTTTTTTCATTATTTCTTTTGCATCTTCAAAAAAACGTATTTTCAAACAACAGCTAAACTTAACTGCAAAAACTGTGGCTCTAAATGAGGCTTCGAAAATTCTTGCACCATTCTAACATCTACAATAACCTTAATACCGGACAAAAATTGTTCGAAATGCAAAATTTTCAAACTGTTTTTTCTCGGCACCGAGAAAACACTTTCAAAATTTGCAAATCTGATCGATTGAAAACCAGAAGTCCTTCAATAAGATTTATCAACGACCAACTCATTTAATTAGTTCTTGAATTTGATTTTGCGTATATAAAAAATAAGCAAATCTGAAGACAAAGTTCTTGCCTACTTTTTGTGGTCGGGTCGGAACAACAAAGATGCAGCAAGCCGAAAAAAAACATCCAATAAAATTTATTCGAAATTTTTTTTCATCTGACTAAAACTCAACTGATGAAACTCAGGAACCAAACATGTCACTAATAAAAAATTTTGAGAAGCATGCTAAAAATTTATTCAAAAAACATGTGTCCATTTAATTTTGGAAACCAAAGAAGCAAATTCAAATCACTGTATAAGCTTGTTTGAGCAAGTTTAATGTGGGGAAACCACGAAAGGAAATAAAGCGAAATGAAATTCATAAATACGCCAAAATCTAACCGAATACGGTTTCTCAAAATGGTATGATAGGTAGGTACTTAATCTAAGTACCTTTTCGGCGAAATCAATTGATTTACATACGCTATCTGCTTTGAAGGAACTGCTTGAAAAGACTAGCGTGAAAAAAGAAAACCACCCAAAAATTATATAAATGTTTCATCATTATTGTGTAAAAGCTCCGTTGTTTCAATTACTTTATATGTTAACTTTATTATACTTCGGTTGACTTAATATCCTCCGACATGCTTTTTGCTGAAAAAACCAATTTGCCTTTTAAAAAATTGACGGGAAAATTTTCATTTTATTTTCTAATACAAATGCTCTCACAAGTATAAGCACATAAGCAGATTGCACTCGCATACACTATTAATGAAAAAAAAACAATGAAAAAAGGAAAAAGTGTAATTTTCTGATTTGAAGATACTTTCACAAAAAAAAAAGAAAAAGCGATCTCTGAAACTACATAATCAAAGGAACTAGCGTGTAACGCACCTCCGGTGCTTCGAGTTTCTAACAATTCAAAAACTGCATATATTGGAAATAGGATCTGCATCTTTTGAGTGTACTCTGACAACACCCAATAACAGTGTTCATAATTTCAAATTTAAAAAGTTTTTTTTTCAAGTTTTTTTAATTCAAATTTTGAAAAACCATAAAATTTTGTGTTCATAAAATTTTTTATATCGAAATTCTTTAAAAATTTATAAAATGAATTAAAAAACGTCTCGGAAACTAAATGCAATTGTGCAGTTGCATTTAGACGCAAGATTTGCAACTCCTGAGAGTGCTCTTACAGTACCCAACTACAGCGTTGGAAATTTCGAACTTTGAAAAACTTATAACTTAAGTTTTCTCAAAAAATTTTTTGCAAAACAATACAAGACGTCATATCTCGAAAACTAGCAAGACTTGAGCAGTCACAATTGGAGCCTTACAACTCCTGATAGTTCTTGTAACTACAGAGTTAGGAAATTCAAACTTAACCAAAAAATTAAAGTTTAAGTTTTCTGAAACATTTTTGTAAAAATCACAAAAAATGTCATATCTGGAAAAGTACAAAATTTTGAGCACTCATTTTGAGCACTGACAGCCCCCAGCAACGAAGTTAAGAATTTTAAAGTTTTTGGAAAAATCACAAAATGTTATATCTCGAAAACTACAAGAATTTGAGCAGTCGAATTTGGCGGCTAAACACGCAACTCCTGGGAATACCCTGGAAGAGCCTCACCATAAAGATGAAACTTCAAATTTTGTGAATTTTTTAAATCCCGTTTCTTTGAACAATTTAAACTTAATACACTTAAAAAACTATAACTCATACACATTGCACCCCCAGTAACACACAACTTACATTGAATTCGTTTTATAAAGCAAGCATTGATTGTGTGAAAGTTACAAGAGCTAAGATATCTTTTTTAAGTTCTAAAATTTGAAGAAGTAAATCACGATCGACTGCTTACAACTTAACTCTAACTTAAAAATGACCTTAAACCTGTTTCATTTTGAGCTCTAAAAAAGACTTCAAGAATCCAGGTTAAAGCACATAACCAAATAAAAGATTGAACCTAAACCAACCAATTTTTATGAAAGAAAAAACTCGAGATACCAATAAAGCGTCTTCTTTTATTTGTGAACTTTATTAAACCGTTTTTCAACCAAGCACAACCTGTTTCATTTTAAATTTCGAGCTTACAAAATACAAAGTGGCAAAATATATTTTGAAAACTTTAAAATTGAAGAGAAACTTAGCTTAAATTGTTTTATTTAATTAACTCATCCTCAAACATGCCGCCACACACCCACGCACTGTTTATTACACCATAAGAATTTCAATCTAATCGTCGTAGTTTTGAGTCAAATTATTTCGCTACCCACGCTACTCGTTAACAGAAAATGGTTATTATCACGAATTGACCATCCCAACTTGGTCAAATTAGCTCCTCTTTCAACCATCATAAACTTGCAAAAAAGATCACAGGAAATAAAAATTTCGTTCCATTTCAAATGAATACGGGACATCAGAAGGCTTCAGCTTGTTAAAAAATTAGATAGCCTGTACCAATATCCTCAGCATCATTTAACAGATAGAGCTGGATTATACGCATAAAATTTTTAACACAAAGGCGAAGCTCAACTTCGCACCACTTGCGATGTTGAATTGAATGACTACTATAACTGAAAGCACTAATCAAAAACTGAACAAAAAAACCTTCAAAATCTTTTTTCTCAGAAATATCCTGTAACGAAATTATCAGCACCATTACAAACTTTCCAAGAAGCCTTGGAAATGCTAGAAAGAAAATGCTTAAGCCGACGATCAAGCCCAAACTGTTGGCAACATCGATGATCATGAGCAATTTAATCGATCAAAACGATGCCATTTTAGTTTGATTAGTTTTCTGAACACGGTTTTTACGTGTGGTAATCAATGAAAAACCAAAAAAAAAAAACACGTCAAAATGAGCAGTTTTAGGTTATTCGCTTAGTTCAGATTCGTTGACCGAAAAAGATATTGCCAACACAATAGGGCATTAGCTAAAAAAATAACCCTCCTATTTATTGAAATGAAAACTTCATCCCTCACCTCTCAGTGAACTGTTAAATTGGTAAAATGCCACTCGATTAATACTT